GGCCTCACCTAAAGCAATCTACCAATTAAGAGTGTGTATAGAGAGTGTGTGTGTGTGTGTGTGTGTGGGGGGGGAAAAAGGTCAAACTAATGTATCCTTGAAATGCAACAGTCGATACCTTGTGTTAGACCACGTACTGCATCCATCATTATCACAGGTTGGGTTCTCAAAAGTTCACAAGTCATATTTTTTCCACTAAATGGAAATGAGTAAAGGTTTCTAGGTAGGGTCGAGTCTCAGTGTGGTTTCGATGCCATTAGGTAGAGAGAGAGATACTATATTTTCTAGATTTACATGGCGGTATATCACTTCGAAATGACAGGTCAAACTTCTCCCGCCACCTTCCTCAGAAAAAAACGAGAAGCTGTAACATGTAAGATCGAGACTCTGGTTCTCCTCCATGATTGGCTGAGTCACCTTACATAATTAATTGAGCTCTGGGATCAACAAGGCCATGGCGATTGAGTGCACAGGTGACAGATGTGCAAATAACATGATTAGCCTGAAGGTGACCGTAACACCCCCAGCAGATTCCAAGGGGCCATAACTTAGGGTCCAGGGGGCATAACTTAGGGTCAGGGGCATAACTCAGGGACCAGATGAGCAATAGTTCGTACGATGAATGTTTCTCGTAAATAATGATACAAGAATGTGTCCAAATGGTTATCAAAAGCCAAAGCACATAATTAATGTAAAAAAATAGCATTACAATTACACTGGGATTATACCTTGACTAAAGACATTTATTGAGTACCAGGGATTTAAAAGGTCATTTACACGTGTAATGTAAAAGAAATATAAATTTCCTGAGGGTTCATTAACCTAACCTAACCTAGCTTAAGCTACAGAGATACACAGTTACCTATAGAGTTAATTTGATTATAACTTTGAACGAATTGTCATGAATTTTCAAACTCAATTATATTCAGGTGAGGTAAAGTAAACAGATCACAACTTATTCTTCCAACAAATATCACTCTGACATGAACGGGTCTTTTCTGTACGTTAATTTTCCTTTTGTGGTGAAGATGAAAATTAAAGGACTGCAATGATGGACACCTGGATGGAAATTCCTACAACCAATATTTTTTTTACATTATTCCGCTTACTGAGTTACATGTACCAAGTTTAACCATGGATGACAGCCTAGTCACGAGTTACGTTCAGAGTCCTTGATACAGCGGGAGGAGTTACTGTATGTAACACTTATATCACCGAGGAGCAAGAAATATTCTGTGTAAGTACTGTATTGCGATTTACAGGGCCATTAAATTTTATTTTTTATGCGTGTCTTCACCGCTGTGTCTTCACTTGTGACGTGTGTGTGTGTGTGTGTGCCCCCCCATGAAGTGCCTTGCGTGACAGGTCAACATCAAGATGCGTGGCAGGAGGGGGACGTGCTAATCGCGAGGCGAGGATCTACATGACGTATTGCCTGGTGGGGGAGGACCTGACCCTCACCGTAATGCCACTATGAGGGGCTAAGTTGTAATATATTGTTAGTGTGTGGAGCGGTGAGGGCCTACCACTGACCACATCAATATATCCTGATGGCACTTTTCCTGTGGTCGCTGCTGCTGGGCCGTGACAGTGGCAGTATACCTGAGGGGTTTGCCTAGTGTTGCCTCCTGCCCAAGTGTTGCTGATGTTATGTACTTATGTACATTCACTTATAGGTCAAGGCTCCACTTGTATGTTACTGTCACATGAACATTACAATGTATGTACCTAACCCGTACTTGAACTAATAATTCTAGATGAACTTTCAGAGTCTAATTTTCACCATTGGTCGTTACAAAGTCTTTATTTCCGCCACATTAATAATCTTGTCTGCCGTAACATAATCTTCACTTTGGCGCCACACGTACAAATGGACACGAAAGCGATTTTTACTCTTTGTTTTACGCCTCGTTGAATGCAGACAAAATTTTTAGGGCTAAATTACGTAATTCTCAGCTATTATGTTCAATACATGACGAAAAATAAAAATTCCAACCTGACAGCACGTGAGGGTGTTGATAATCCTGGCCCGTCATAATTAACTATCTTTAATCTTGGTATTAAATGTTTTTTCCTCAGAATATATATAGCAAGATGGTATGTCAAGGTCATCCTCTGTACAGGATCTGAGTCCTTCTGTATCATGCAGCTCAGGTGTCGTGTTGATGGAAGACATGAACATGGATAATGAAAATGGCAGAATAAGTCACATTACTTGAAGAACAACCCTGACAGGTCTGACAGAGTGAGACGATCTCTCTACCCTGGATCACCAGAGGCAACTGTCTGGTTACAATAACACACTGACAGCGGCAACACTCGCTAACCTCCTACAAGAAGTAATAATGACAGTTCTGACAAAAGGTGCATCTAAGCCTTGTCCCATCTGCCCAGCAGGGTGTGGGTGTGTGTGTGTAACTTGTCACGGTCACCACCACACTGTTGGGATGACGAGGAGCAAATAATTATTGACACAATCGATCCCCACATTGTGAGCTTCTTCACCTGACACATGAGGTGGTGAGGTGTCCTTTGCCTTAAGTACAAGGTACACATGTCCAGGTATTCTATGAACATAACATGAGTGACACAGGTGTTTAGTGCAGTAGCATGTGTCCCTGGTATTAAGCGTAAGATACAAAGGTCCATGTGTCATCTAGACCTGACACGGACACAAAATCACGTGTCCTTGCATCTAATATAAGACATTTAATTCTTTATATAAATTTAGAGTCATGACTATATATATATATATATATATATATATATATATATATATATATATATATATATATATATATATATATATATATATATATATATATATATATATATATATATATATATATATATATATATATATATATATATAAAATAATATTATATTTTATGTATATTATAGGCAAATTATAATACAGGCACAGCATAACTGTCTTCATTCATGTGATATTGATTTGCGTAAAAAAACGACAAAACATGAAATAATAGAAGAAAAGAAAAAAAAAGACAAGTTATTAAGTACATGATCAACCTCGTCAGTAGTGTGTGGGATGAGGGATCGACTTCTCGTATGTTAAGATGAACTACATAATGATAAATGTTCATTATGCGTGAACAGAAGAACCACAAGCCAGAAAGAACAAAAACAACCATACAGAACAAGAACAACAGCAAAAGGCATGTCGAGCATTAACTAATCATGACCTTAATGACACCTGTACTGACACAAGTGCAGTAATTACCATTCCACCTGTCACCTGTAAATCAACACTCATGTATGTACAAACACTCAGACGAATAACCACCACCACCATCCCCATAGGTCAACATATGTATGGTTAGTATCCCAATAATGGGTCATTACGAGGTCATGAAGTGATCGTTATGAGGTCATCCATCATTACAGCCGCCCACTATCGTTTGGCCTCGTGACCTTGGACGACAATTTGTGGTCATTGAGTAAGTCAGATTGATGAGTTTGTTAATAGTTAATGTTGTCTCCTGTCTACTCTCTTCCACCCCCTCCTCTATTACCTCTCCCTCCCCTATTTCTTCTCCCTTCCCTCCACCCCTCCCCAATTTCTTCTCGCCCTCCCCTATTACCTCTCCCTCCCTATTTCTTCTCTCCTCCTCTCCCTCCCCAATTTCTTCTCGCCCCTCCCCTTTTACCTCTCCCTCCCAATTTCTTCTCCTCCTCCCTCTCACCTCCCCAATTTCTTCTCGCCCTCCTATTACCTCTCCTCCCCAATTTCTTATCGCCCCTCTATTACCTCTCCCTCCCCAATTTCTTCTCCCCTCCCTCTCACCTCCCCAATTTCTTCTCACCCCTCCCTATTTCTTCTCATCAGCACATAATATTTCCACTATAAGCAACTTTAATATAATTTTCAGATACATTTATAACACGATTTCTTTTCTATCAGAGATACTATCAGCCATATTATCTATTAAACCGTAATGTCTGAGAACCATAACAGAGGTGGAATGGAGTAGAGCTGGGGTGGAGATTTTTCAGGTGATCCAAGAAGCTTACAAACAATCAGGGTAAGTGAGTCTTTATTACCCAACCTGCTCTTGAATAGTAAAGGTAAATTTCTTGCTTTCTAAAGATAAGAACGAATGGGGTCATCAGTTTAAGCACCCCTCAGGCCCCGAGACAGATATGAGGGAGGGAAGGAAGAAGGAAGGAGAGAGGTAAAGAGGAGGAGGAGGAGAATGAGGAAGAAAGGAAAACAAGAAGGGGAGGAGGAAGGAAGAAAGGTGAAGGCAAGGGTTTGTCAGGTAAAGGTCGAGAATCTAACCAGACCTTCCTGGCCCAACATTATGATATCTTAAAGTAGTCATACATTCCACACATTATTCCACCTGCCTGTATTATATATCATTAACCACACTACCTTGCTATATTTCTCTAAAACCTATACTGTAATGTGTATCAGCCGTATCACCTCCCAACCACACCAACAACCACATTACCACACACACACACACAAATTTAGCCACACTACCTCTATCACACATAATTAACCACACTACCACTCACACACACAAAATTAGCCACACTACCTCTCACACATAAAATTAGCCACACTAACTCCATCACACGTAATTAATCACATTATCACCTGCTAGCATTAAGCCCTCACACACAGGTAGGGTTCATAATAATCAACAAGCACTGCCTCCACCCACCCACTGTTCTACGACTTGACCTTTGTTATGGCTACACCTATTAATAGAGCTGTCCTTGAGTGTGTGTGTGTGTGGTTAAAAACCCTCTGAGCCATCCAGCCTTGACTCCTCTGTAATGTTATAATGTAAGAACTCCACCTTACTCTCAGATGTAATGTTAGAAAAGTAATACTCAACCTAATCTAGTCTAATGTAATCTAATCTAGCTAAACCTGACCTAACCTAATTTAATCTATTTTAACCTAACCAAACCTAACTTAAGCTAACCCAACCTAACTTAATCTAACCTAACCTAACCAAATTTCTACCTTCAGTACTCTAAAAGGATAATGTTACAATTACTCTTACTTTATGACACAAACACCTCACCCATATGATTTACACAACACTAACACAACACAAATCCTCACACACACAACACAGCACACAGTTACCCTAACCTGACCTAGCCACCTACCTCTCCTAACCTAACCTGACCTGACTTAACTCACCCTAACCTAACCTGACTTAACCCACCCTGACCTAACCTAACCTGACCTGACTTAACCCACCCTAACCTAACCTGACCTGACTTAACTCACCCTAACCTAACCTAACCTGAGCTGACTTAACCCACCCTAACCTAACCTGACCTGACCTGACCTGACTTAACTCACTCACTCTAACCTAACCTGACCTAACCTGACCTAACACTCTGACCTAACCTAAACTGACATACATTACTGAGAGTGATCGAGCTGTGGTTGCCCCCCACCTTCATATCTATCCAGGTACATAGTATTTTGAGATCAATTATTTAATCATCAATCTAAGCTATATTGGGCAGATGGAGGATCGATTGGCCTCATTACCTGAGTGGTGGAGGCTGCATCCTGGGAGAAGTTAAAGAAGGTCATGTCTGATCTACTGATGATTCACTATCGATTGCCCCATTTATTTTACATTTACACTTGAAGGTCGTGTATTCAACCCCATTTACACTTGAATGTCTGATTTTTAACCATACAAACACTTTATGGTTGATTTGTAGCCTCATTTACACTCCATAACACTTGATTGGTGTTGTTTTTAACAGAATTTACACTATTTACATTACATTTACACTCCACTAACAATTGATGGCTTGATACATGCAGTCCACACTGTCATTTGCGTCTACAGGTCAGTTCAACTCAAAATAACTAATAGACTTATAGAGTGTACAGTTACAGTCAAAAGTCCTGTTGCCTCTCCATGGATAGCATAATGCACCAGTGTCTACTGCTTCAGGTTCACAAGTCTGAATCTCAGGGTTCATGAAGCAGCAGGAGAGGCGACAGGACTTGTGACCGTGACAAAACATGTTTCCCTTCTTACTAAATCCTCTTTTCTATGCTTTATATATATTTTTGTTCTATTTGTCATACTCAGTCCTTTCTTTCTCTTCCTCCCTCCTCTATCCCCCACCCCTCTCTCCTCCCCTCCCTCTGCCCCCCCTGCCAAGACCAATATCAAGAATTCAACGGTAAATATTTCAAGTCTCATCACTAAATCTTGGAAGTTTACCATTTGTGTGGCGGAGACAGGAGATGTGTCTGTCAGATACATGTGTGTCATCTTAATGTCAAGACAGGAATAGCAGTGTCTAGTACAGTACAGTATTTATATAAAAATTATCATACGAAGATTAGGCACCCTAAAGCTAACCTTATCAAACTTATCCTAACCTAACACCCCAGGTAGCATAAAGATACTGAATCATCAGGTGAAATAATCTGAGGTGCTTAATCTTCACGTGATCCATGAAAAAAAACGACAAGAATTTTTATTTCATTATTAATACTGTACCGTATTCAGCCAATAATGTCAATCTAGGCTAGATCTTTTATGAAGAGCAACAGCTGCGTCCTGAAATTATATCCCGTATTAAAGTGTAAACACCGAGGCGAGCGAGATCATTAGTTTATCAAAATCTGGCATTACCAAAGGTCAGCCCCTTCAGTATTTAGCAGACAGGATCACACAGTAAAAAATAGTACAGGAAGCTCTCACGGTGTAGTCACAATGTTATGGTGTTAAAAAAACTGAAATAAAAATAAAAGCTAAACAATACTGAAACACTGTATAAGAAGATGATAAATGTATGAGGCAGTAGAGACAAAGACTGAGATGTGGCTCAGTGTGTCGTACTTTAACTCTGTCCCAATAATACAATATAGTGTACCCTACAAAGATGCTCAGTCGAGGTTGAGTATGAAGAGGAGTCTACAAAACTGACCTGGGGGCCGCTGGAGGTGTTGGCAGTGGGCTGCTGCTTCTCTTCTGGCTTCTTGTTAACTGGCTTCTTATCATCTGGCTGCTTCTTCTCCTCCAATTTTGGTGCCTTTGTTTTCTCCTTCTCCTCACCCTTAGATGGTGTTCTCTGCTTGCCATCATCACCCTTCAGTGATCTGGCAGCCTCGCCTTGGTCTTGTGCCTGCAATGAGTTGATAACATACAATAATAATATTAGAAAATAGGCTCTTCTCTGTGTCTTCCTGTCCCTTCCTTATAATTTCTCTATCCCTTCTTAATTCTCCTGTTCTTTTCAATACTTCCTTGCCCTTCTCATTATTTTCCTACCCTTCTCAGTTAAAATGGGGAGTGACAGACAATCAGCCACACACCTGTTTCTTGGAGGGCTGCTTCACTGTCTTAGAGTCAAGGTAGTTCTTGTTGTCAGGACTGTCGCTGTAGGAGCCGCCAGACTCCATGTGTGCCAGGGTCCTCCTCAGGTCACTCAGGTACAGCTTACCAGGTTCATCCAACAACACCTGCCACCACATAACTCCTGGTTTATCTGTCCACACACCACTGGTCACGTCAGCACGATATATCAGCATGAAGTTAGCATGAAGTCAGTGAAAAGTAAATATAATATCAGGAAGAGGGCAATGGTAGACCAACAAAAAAATTTCAACAAGAGGAGAGCAGGTCAGTAGGAAAACAGCAGGTAAGCAAGAGGACAACAAAAGAGCAGCAAGATGTTAAACAGGAGAGCAAGTCAGCAATCTGGGTGTGAAGATGAGGAGAGGAACTAACCTTGCGGGCGCCAGAATACATGTTGGCTCTCAGCATCCATGGTTTGATGAGCGTCAGGATAGCCAACTATGTCCTTCATCGTTTCCTTCTTCCACCCACCCAGGAACAGCTGATCCCACACCCATACGCATGCTGACACGCTCAGCACGCCCACAAATGCCTGCCGGACGCCGCCCATACCCAGGGAGAAACTTCAGTTATGAATGGTCCTAACAATTTCACGCCTATCCAAGAATAGCCGATTTCACACCCATACCCACCACACCCACCCAGGAAACTGTTGATACTGTATATATAGACAGTCCAGACACACACTCATAGTTCCTTTAGCTCTCTCTCAGTTAACCTTTAACCGTAACTGAATGTATTTTGAGCTGGAAGTTGTGGACAGGGTCAGTTCTCTCTCTCTCTCTATTATTTCTATATTCTCTCGTTCTCTATTTTTGCATCTCTTTCTTTAACCTCATCCTTCTCTCAGTTGTATCTCCTCTTTTCAGTCTCTTTCTTTTCACTCCTCTCTCTCTCTCTCTCTCTCTCTTTACCTCTTTCACATATTTTCTTTCCACTCACTCTCTTCCAACTCCTTCTTACCTGAGCAATCCACATTCTGATGAAGATGGCTGGGTCGGTGAAGATCTTGAGGTGTTTGGGCTTCATGTCCTTAGTGCCTCGCTCCAGCAGCTCTTGGTACTGCTTCACTGACCCCTTCAAGTCCTTCGTCAGCACCTCAGGCAGAAGTCCTGCAGCAGGGAAAGTGATCATAAACGAATTAATGCAGTTGTTATACAGAAGTAGTAGTACAGTAGATGAGATATGTTTTAGGTACTATATTATCTTATGCTGACGTTAGGTGAATACAGTTAATACAATATTTGTTACTACTGCTACTAATATCCATTAATAATAGTACACAACATAGCTATAACCACTACCATCACTCACAATTTATCAGTACAACTACAACCCCCACTACTACTCCCATCCATCACTCCTACCACGACACTAACCTTGAGATTTATACGGGAGACCTGGTTGTTGAGGCAGCGTGTGATGTGGTCGTAGTACTCGGTGTCATTCTTCTTCATCACCTCCATTATCTGCTCGGCCACAGCGAATACTTCCTTCTGGCTCATCTGACAGTGGCGGGTCACCAATTCAAGCAACATTGCCTGCCGTATCACGTGTTCCTCTGAAAGCGAGCAAGGAAGGGGTTAGATTTTAGGCCTGTAGTGCCCTTTTGGGGGTAAACTACTAAACTAAGTCTGTGGCACTCTGCTATGGGGAAAACTAAGCATAGAGTACTCCTTTGGGTAAACTAGACCTATAGTGCTGTTCTAGGGGGTAAAGTAAACCTACTGTATGATGCACTACTGGGAGTAAACTAATTCTGTAGTGTTCCTCTAGGGGTAAAAGAGGCCTTGTGGGGTACTGACGTACTGTCCTCTTTATTATTTTGGTGGAGTGAACGGGGTGGTAATATCGACAATATATACCTAGATTTTGCCAAGGCTTTTGACAGTGTACCCCATGAAAGGCTGAAAACCAAACTGGAAGGGTACGAAATTCGGGGAAATGTCCTAGCATGGATAGAAGACTTTCTACATGACCGCAAGCAGTGTGTGGTGATTAATGGCACGAAATCATCATCTGTACTTGTAACAAGCGGGGTACCACAGGGCAGTGTATTGGGCCCGCTGTTGTTTGTTTGTTTCATAAATGACATGCCTGACGTTGTACACTCCTCCATACAAATGTTTACCGATGATGCCAAGTTATTTTGGGAAATCAAGAACCAAGCGGACTGTGAAGAGCTGCAGAAGGATCTCTGTGAGCTCCAAGAATGGTCGAAGAAATGGCTGCTGAGATTCAATGTCAAGAAGTGTAAGATGATGCACATGGGGCGTACCAACGGTAAGGAGGCGTATCACATGTCCCAATGGGATGAAGAAACTGCACTATTTGAGACAATGTGAGAAGGACCTAGGTGTGTATGTTGACAATGAGCTGAAGTTCTCGGGCCATTGCAAGAAGAAGGTAAATCAGGCAAAAGTTATTAGGTCTTATAAGAAGGTCGTTCAGATATCTAGACGGTCCGTCCTCGTAACAATCTTCAAGTGAAATGCTTCCCCATCTGGAGTACTGTCACCCGCCTGGTCCCGAGATATGCTAGGGACTGTCAGTTGGTTGAAAATGTTCAAGGAGGTGCCACCAGACTGGTGTCTGCTTCGGCACCTCAACTACCCTGAGAGATTGGAGTGCCTGAACTCTAGCTTATACTACAGACGGGCAAGGGGCGACTTATAAGGTGTAGAAGCATCTCCAAGGGTACCTACTCAGTCGAGTGTCCTGGAGCTGGTGGACGCTCGCCCCACAAGGGTCACAGCTCAAGATTGAAGGAGCCACAGGCCAGAAAACTGTGAGGGCAAACTTTTTGGAGTGAGAGTTGTGAACTCTTGGAACAATCTGCCAGAAAGTGTTGTGACAGCACCGAGTGTGAGCTCTTTCAAGACCAGACTTGACCAACACTGGAGCAGGTTTAGTTTCATTCAGGAGCCGTTGCATGCCCAGTACTTGCCAACAGTGCGTAACAAGAGCGTGACCGATCATCCAAGCGGCTAAAAGAGACGATCAGTGGCGAAGAGGATAAAAGTAAAAGTATTCTAGCGGGAAATGTTAGGCGGCTTATGTCATTAGAATATTAGTTGCTTATTTTACCTGATGATCAAACATCCAAATGATACCTGGGGGATTAGGTTAGGTTAGCATTAGATAAGTTAGCAATAGGTTAGGTTAAATTAAATAACTGTTAAGTTAGGTTCGGTTAGGTTAGGAGTTTAATTATCTAAAAGAAATAAATTGGAGTCCCTAATCTGTTTTATTGTATCTGTTAAAATTGTTGACATAGTTGTTGATACTGTACTGTACTACTAACCATCTTCTTCATCAGGCTTCTTCGGGAAGGCCTGCTGGAGGGGTACGAGCCAGTAGATGTGAATGTTGGAGAATATCTTGGAGTGGATGTTGAGGATATTGAGGGCTCGGGCTGTCTGGATCATATGCTCTTCGTTGTCCAGACATCGAAGTGGAGACGTGTTGTCGTAAGCCTGGGAGGGGGGAACAACACCATGATAAATAATAGTAACAGGACAGATGTGTATATGTGTTCTTAAGAACATAAAATTTTTATTTTATGATGGAGACAAATTTAGGAAAAATAAAAGATTGGAAAAATTAAAATGCAAACACCGAAATAAAAGAAACGAAGGAAAATGAAGTTAGATGATTCCAGTAGTTAGTAATTCAGACACATGTTAATGATTAACCTTTATGACAGCACCGTCGATGGCACACCAGAAGTGAAGAAATAAGGCACAAAGGAAGAATTTCTACCTAACACCTCAGATAGACAGAAGCAGTGTTGATTGAGTGCCAGAAATTAAGGCTAACAGGAAAGCAGAAAGAAGCAAGAGACAGTGTTGATGGAGCCTCAGATGTGAAAGAGGAGAGGAGGGAAGAGACAAAGGATAAGAAGGGATTATACCTCAATAACAGCACTGTCTATAGTGCGCCAGTTGTTGCTGCGAATGGCCCTCGTCACCTTCTGGCTCTTCATCTCCTTGTCCAGTGTTTTGTTGAACTTGTCTCTCATGAGCGCCTTCACATCCTGGTCGGGCTTAGGCTTCAGTTTGGCTGCCTCTTTATCGATCAAAAACTCCCACCAGAAGAAGCAACGGAGGTTATTCGACAGTCCTAAGTGTCGCTCCCGGAGTCTGGGGAATAGGTGGGTACAACATGGTGAGGAGCTGCACCTTCATTACCATCACTTGTCCACATCCTAAAATATGATTGGTATTTCACCGAAGCTAATTAAACCATCTAGTCTCGTCACACCTAGATTTACAGTACAGTATATACGATTCACCGGCTCACACCAACCTTTTCATATACTCGTTCTTTTTGTTATTGTTTTGGGCCAAGATGGCAAGGAGCGCCTGGCCAGCCACATCAGAGGGTTTAGTTCCCAGGTCTTCCTTCAGTGCTTTCCTCTTGGCCTTCTCCATTTCATCATCTGTGTCATTACCCTCGTCGTCTTCATTGTTGCTGTCACCCCCATTTTTCTGGCGCTCCCTCTCTGCCTCCTGTTGAAACAGTACGAGTCAACGTGAGCTGGGGTGACACACGCCGGCTACAAGAATAGAGAACCTCAGCCAGAAATATGATTGGTACACTGGAACATGATGCTGGATCCTCTTACAGTATGTCCTTCCCTTCCAGCTTAACAGTGGCTTTCCCCCTATAATTTGTGGCATGACAGTTACCACTCACCTCCTGAAATGCAAGTCTCACCCATCTTCTGGAACATGACAGTCCTTCACCTGGAACATGATAGCCCCTCACCTGGAACATGATAGCCCCTCACCTGGAACATGACAGCCTCTGACCTAGAACATGATAGCCCCTCATCTGCAAAATGATAGCCCTTCATCTGGAACATGGCAGCACCTCACCTCTTCGAATCTGACGACAGCTGTGTGCCTCCTGAGTCCCTCTTGAAAATTAGAGCGGACCTCATGAAGGAAGCGGCCCAGCTCGTCATCATTCTCATAGGCACTGGCATCCTCTGGGTACCCGCAGTCCTGTCAACCAAATAATCTATATACTATGCCTGGCACTTGAAACATGGACATACAATTACACATATCAATACACAAATATACATACAGACGAACACAAACCCAATGCCCCGATACATAATTAGTCCTGTAAAGCATCTGTTCTACGTAAAGGACACGCTAATTGTAAGCTTGTATAAACACATACACACACACACATTGAGGCTGGAGTGGGAGGTAGGCTCTAAACTGGTCTTCCATGATTGTGTGATCCATAAACACGACCTTGATTCTCCTCCTTGATGTACCACAGACATGCACCCCTGCGTGAAGCTCCTCTGTTGCTCAACCCCATCAGTGACCGTGAACATCCTGACTCAACTTCTCCCAACTTCATCGATTCTGTTCCCACTTTGGACATTGTTAATGTTTTACTCCTTCAACTTACATGAAAACTCTTCATTTTGGCTCACCTTAAGATTTGCCGCTCATGTTTTTTCACCTTAAGATTAACCACCTTAATGCTACTTGGGGAAGTTAGGTTGGGGGGTTATGTTAGGTTTGGTTAGTGTTACGGGGATTAATCTTTTGGTAAAATAATATCAGGGATGAATCTTAAGGTGACCCTTTATTTATAAGTACTGTAGTGCCAACATCTCAACTCACTGATTGACTGATTCACTGACTGAGCGTAAAAGCAATATTTTTCACTTTAGCGCCACAATGGATGTGTTTACCTACCTGTTATCCCCTTATGTTCTCCCTCACCCCCCCCATCACCTGCATAACACAAGGTATCAGATTGTCTTTTTATAAACCTATACAACAATGGAGGAGAGTCTGAAGCACCTGGCAGGTTCTCAAAGCATGACGTCACTGATACAACTGCCGCCAGTCAATGTTGCTGTGTATACCATCCACCAGTCACTAGGGCAGAAACTATATATTTTTTAGTGTGTGTGTGTGTGTGTGTGTGTGTGTGTGTGTGTGTGTGTGTGTGTAGGACTTCAAATTGTTTACAGGATATTTCATAGGTTATAAAGTTGGAGATACTGTACAATACTGATTTTGGGATCCATCACTCACAGCAACTAGCAGCTTTTACTCTCCCTTACACACTACAAACACTCACACACAACCCCACAGACAGACACACACAGTACTGTGCCAAATGTACTGTACCTCTCCACACTGCCCCATTAGCATAAACTCCTAAAACACCTGACAATGTTTACAAATTATCAGTGTGGTCACGCTGAGAGCACCGGCCTGAGCGTCTATATGACCTCTGATTACTGTACATTGTTCTGGGGAAAATACCGCATGGCCCACTACTTTTAAGGACCACTACTTGTAAGGGAGCAATATTTACAGCAGCCCACTACTTGTAAGGACCACTAATTGCAGGGCCCACTTCTTGTAGTACCTTCTACCTTTAAGGGCCACTGCTTGCCAACACCTGCAGCAACACGAAAGAATGTTTAACTTACACACACACACACACGAACAACACTTAAATGTCGTGCTCAAGACTGGCTATACTATCGACTGGTCTGAGACTGAGTTCATCTGTCTGGCAGCCAATCTTCCAGTCTTGTTGAGGCAGGACACACACACTGACGACACCAGACACTCACCCACCTATGACACCAGACACTCACCCACCTATGACACCAGACACTCACCCACCTATGACACCAGACACTCACCCACCTATGACACCAGACACTCACCCACCTATGACACCAGACACTCACCTCCCTATGATACCAGACACTCAGACCCTACCCACCTATGACACAGACACTCACACTGACCCTTACCTCCCTATGACATCAGACACCTCCCACTGACCTTACCTCCCTATGACACCAGACACTCCCACTGACCCCACTCTCCCGACACCAGACACTCCCACTGACCCTTACCTCCCTATGACACCAGACACTCCCACTGACACTGACCCTTACCCCTATGACACCAGACACTCCCACTGACCCTTACCTCCCTATGACACCAGACACTCCCACTGACCCTTACCTCCCTATGACACCAGACACTCCCACTGACCCTACCTCCCTATGCCCTGACACTCCCACTGACCCTTACCTCCGTATGACATGACACCCCACTGACCCTACCCTATGACACCAGACACTCACACCTGACCCTTACTTCCCTATGACACCAGACCTCCCACTGACCCTTACCTCCCTATGACACCACACCCCACTGACCCTTACCTCCCTATGACAAGACACTCCTACTGACCCACCTCCCTATGACACCAGACACCCCCTGCCCTTACCTCCCTATGACACAGACACTCCCACTGACCCCTACCTCCCTATGACACCAGACACTACACTGACCCTTACCTCCCTATGACACCAGACACTCCCACTGACCCTTACCTCCCTATGACACCAGACACTCCCACTGACCCTTACCTCCCTATGACACAGACCTCCTCAGCCTTCCTCCCTATGACACCAGACACTCCCACTGACCTTACCCCCCATGACACAAGACACTCCCCACTGACCCTACCTCCTATGACACCAGACACTCCCACTGACCCTACCTCCCTATGACAAGACACTCCCGGACCTTACCTCCCTATGACATCAGACACCCCACTGACCCTTACCTCCCTATGACACCAGACACCCCACTGACCCTACCTCCCTATGACACCACACCCCATGACCCCCCTATGACACCAGACTCCCACTGACCCTACTCCATGACATCAGACACTCCCACTGACCCTCCTCCTATGACACAACCTCCCACTGACCTTACCCCTATGACCTGGACACCCCACTGACCCTTACCCCTATGACACCAGAACTCCCTGACCTTACCTCCCTATGACCAGACCCCACTGACCCTTACCTCCCTATGACACCAGACACCCCACTGACCCTACCTCCCTATGACACCACAGACACTCCTCCTGCACTGACCACCCCCTATGACACCAGACTCCCACCCCACCTCTATGACAAGACACCCCACTGACCCCACCCCCTATGACACCAGACTGGGACACCCATGACCCTACCTCCCTATACACCAGACACTCCTACTGACCCTACCTCCCTATGACACCAACACTCCTGACCCTACCTCCCTATGACAAGACACTCCCACTGACCCTAGTCCCTATGACACAACTCCCACTGACCCTTACCTCCCTATGACACGACACCCACTGACCTACCCCTTGAACACCTCCCAGCCCTACGTCCCTATGACACCAGACACCCCACTGACCCTTACCTCCCTATGACACCAGACACTCCCACTGACCCTACCTCCCTATGACACAGACACCCTCTGACCCTTACCTCCCTATGACACCAGACACTCCCACTGACCTACCCCCCTATGACAGAACTCCCACTGCCACCTCCCTATGACATCAGACCCCACTGACCCTACCTCCCTATGACACCAGACACTCCTACTGACCCTTACCTCCCTATGACACCAGACACTCCCACTGACCCTTACCCCTATGACACCAGACACTCCCACTGACCTCACTCCTATGACACCAGACACTCCCACTGACCCTACCTCCCTATGACACCAGACACCCTACTGACCCTTACCTCCCTATGACACTGACACTCCACCTGACCCTTACCTCCCTATGACACCAGACACTCCCACTGACCCTACTCCTCCCTATGACACCAGAGACACTCCCACTGACACTGACCCTACCCCTATGACACCAGACCTCCCACTGACCCTTACCTCCCTATGACACCAGACACTCCCACTGACCCTTACTCCCTATGACACCAGACACTCCTACTGACCCTTACCTCCCTATGACACCAGACACTCCCACTGACCCTTACCTCCCTTATGACACCAGACACTCCTACTGACCCTACCTCCCTATGACACCAGACACCCCACTACCCTACCTCCCTATGACACCAGACACTCCCACTGACCCCTACCTCCTATGACACCAGACCCTCACTGACCCTTACCTCCCCTATGACCAAGACACCCTACTGACCCTTACCTCCCATGACACAGACACTCCCACTGACCCTACCTCCCTATGACACCAGACACTCCCACTGACCCCTTACCTCCCTATGACACCAGACACTCCCACTGACCCTACCCCTATGACACCAGACACTCCCACTGACCTACCTCCCTATGACACCAGACACTCCCACTGACCCTACCTCCCTATGACACCAGACACTCCCACTGACCCTTACCTCCCTATGACACAGACACTCCCTACTGACCCTTACCTCCCTATGACACCAGACACTCCCACTGACCCTTACCCCCCTATGACACCAGACACTCCCACTGACCCTTACTCCTATGACATCAGACACTCCCACTGACCCTTACCTCCCTATGACACAGACACCCCACTGACCCCTACCTCCCTATGACACCAGACACTCCCACTGACCCTTACCTCCCTATGACACCAGACACTCCTACTGACCCCACCTCCCTATGACACCGACCCCCACTGACCCTTACTCTATGACACCAGACACTCACTGACCCTTACCTCCCTATGACATCAGACACTCCCACTGGACCCTCCCTATGACACCAGACACTCCCACTGACCCTACCTCCCTATGACACCAGACACCCCACTGACACTGACCCTACCCCTATGACACCAGACTCCCACTGACCCCACCTCCCTATGACACCAGACACTCCCACTGACCCTTACCCCCTATGACACCAGACACTCCCAGTGACCTACCTCCCTATGACACCAGACACTCCCACTGACCCCTACCTCCCTATGACACAGACACTCCCACTGACCCTTACCTCCCTATGACACACAGACACCCACTGACCCTACCTCCCTATGACACCAAACACCCTACTGACCCACTGTTACCTCCCTATGACACAGACACTCCTACTGACCTCTACCTCCCTATGACACCAGACACTCCCACTGACACTCACCTCCCTATGATACCAGACACTCAGACCCCTACCCACCTATGACACCAGACACTCACACTGACCCTTACCTCCCTATGACACCAGACACTCCCACTGACCCTTACCCCCTATGACACCAGACACTCCCACTGAGACACCAGACACTCCCACTGACCCTTACCTCTATGACACCAGACACTCCCACTGACACTGACCCCCCTATGACACCAGACACTCCCACTGACCCTTACCTCCCTATGACACCAGACACTCCCACTGACCCTTACCTCCCTACACCAGACACTCCCTGACCCTGACACCTCCCACTGATTCCCTCCACTGAGACACCAGACACTCACTGACCCTTACCCCTATGACACCAGACACTCCCACTGACCCCCACCTCCCCTATGACACCAGACCTCCACTGACCCTTACACTCCCACTGACCCTCCCTCTATGACACCAGACTCTCCACTGACCCTTACCTCCCTGTGACACCAGACACTCCACTGACCCCACACTCCCTATGACACCAGACACTCCCACTGACCCTTACCTCCCTGACACAGACACTCCTACTGACCCTTACCTCCATATGACACCAGACACTCCCACTGACCCTTACCCCCTATGACACCAGACCTCCCAGTGACCCTTACCCCCTATGAGACACGACCCTTCCTCCCTATGACACCAGACACTCCCACTGACCCTTACCTCCCTATGACACCAGAACCTTGGACCCACTCCCACTGACCCTTACCTCCCTATGACACCAGACACTCCCACTGACCCTACCTCCCTATGACACCAGACACTCCCACTGACCACACCTCCCTATGGACACCAGACACTCCCACTGACCCTTACCTCCTATGACACTAGACACTCCCACTGACCCTTACCTCCCTATGACACCAGACACTCCCACTGACCCTTACCTCCTATGACACTAGACACTCCCACTGACCCTTACCTCCCTATGACACCAGACACTCCCACTGACCCTTACCTCCCTATGACACGAGACACTGATGTTGACCCTTACCTCTCGTATGACACCTGACAAACTGACCCCCTGCATTCCTTTCTTCTGACCCCTTACTCGCTCACCTTATTGAGGAATTCCTACGCGTGTCTCAGTCATAAATTAGTGCAAGTCAGTGACCCGATGACTTCCTGAACCAACGTGTCTCTCTCTAACCTAGCCTAACCCAACCTAACCTAACCCAACCTAACCCAACCCAACCTAACCCAACCCAACCTAACCTAACCTAACCCAACATAACCTAACCTAACCCAACCTAACATAACCTAACGAAATCTACCAAACACAAGCAAACTAATCTTAATTAACTTAACTCACATAATCTAACCAAATATGTCCGAGTTAACTTAAGCCTACATATAACCTCAGCTAACTTAAATGTAAAATAAACTTAATTTAATCTATCCTAAACCTAACCTGACATAATGTTCTCGTAACTAAATCCATCGTAAACCTTAGTTAAAATATCAAACTTAAATTAATCCAAACTTAAATTAATTTAAATCTAACATACCCAACAACACTACATCCACCTCAAAGGTCAAACTCATCATCATCATCTCAACTGACGTCATGGTGGAAGAGGACCAATCACCGCTCACAAGACCCATATAAACGTGGATTCTGTCAATTGCCTATGGATGGGCAGCGCATGGTGACCGGATAAAACCCCAACGGACAAAACCCCAGTCTCATATATAAAATATAAAATAAAACACTTTTATGTTTAGGTTAGGTTGGGTTAGTGTTGACAAATGACAACCCCGTTGGGGTTTTGCCATGGAACCGAGCGCATGAAGACTCCAGCTAGTTCCAGTGTTATACTTCATCTGTGTCTCGGGGCTCCTGTGTTAACAATAATACCAAAGAATTTGGACTGTAATTTTGAGTGAGTGTGTGAGTGAGTGTGTCTGTGTGTGTTTGCAGGTGGTGTATTGGTGCGTGCAAGGTTACATGCAGACACGGTGCATGCTTGAAAGCATGTTGGGGTACGTGCATGCGTGTGTATGTGTGCGCGAAGGGGGGTGGGGAGGGATGTGGGTTCATGATTGCGTGTATGTGTTAAATTTACACAAATCATTGTACACTGACCTAAGCTTACATGTGTGTGTGTGTGTGTGTAGCTTAGCAATATAAGGGTGTACTCACGCATCAGCTGGTTCGATCAGTACATACTCACGCAAGGCAGGTCAGGGTTTACACATGCAGTTGTCAATACAGTCAGGTTATACGCCTGTGGGTGTCAATCTGGGTGTATACACAGTGGTGAATACTTGCAGGTGTCAGCAGGGTAGGAGTACAAACAGGTGGCAGCAGGGCAGGAGTGCACACAAACAGGTAACAGTACTGACGGTGAGGGCGCGGGAGAGAGCCTGGTCGAGGAAGACGCGCGCCTCCTGCACGTACTTCTCCTTCTGCCTGGGGGCCAGTGGGGGCTCCTGCAACAGACCAGTAGTGAGGAAAGTGACTCCTATAGACATGACTGAGATAATGATGATTGGTTCACCAACCAGTATCTAAACGTTGATTGGTTCACCAACCAGTATCTAAACGTTGATTGGTTCACCAACCAGTATCTAAACGTTGATTGGTTCACCTACCAGTATCTAAACGTTGAGTGGTTCACCTACCCGTATCTGGACGTTGATTGGTTCACCTACCCGTATCTGGACGTTGATTGGTTCACCTACCCGTATCTGGACGTTGATTGGTTCACCTACCAGTATCTGGACGTTGATTGGTTCACCTACCAGTATCTAAACGTTGATTGGTTCACCTACCAGTACCTGGACGTTGATTGGTTCACCTACCCGTATCTGGACGTTGATTGGTTCACCTACCCGTATCTGGACGTTGATTGGTTCACCTACCCGTATCTGGACGTTGATTGGTTCACCTACCAGTATCTGGACGTTGATTGGTTCACCTACCCGTATCTGGACGTTGATTGGTTCACCTACCAGTATCTGGACGTTGATTGGTTCACCTACCAGTATCTGGACGTTATACTTGTGGTAGGGGAAGTGTTGGGTGGTGAACTCAGGGCCCAGAAGGGTGAACAGGGCCTGCTGTTTGAGCTCTGAGCCCTGAGGTCGGGTCACATGCTTGGCCAAGGCCCGATTCACCTGATCCATCACCTGCAGAGGAAGATAATGCATGAAGTGGCCTAGGTAGTGTGGCCAGGGGTAATGAGGCCAGGGTACTACGACCAAGGAAAGTATGGCCAAAGGTGAGTATGACCAAGGGGAGTATGGCCAAGGGGTAGTGTGGCCAAGGAGCCAAATTAATGCGGCCAGGGGTAGTGTGGTCAAGGGTAGTGTGGCCACAGCAAAAGCACAGCGGCCCAAGAGGACCACTCAACATGCAACACTATTGATTGGCGCGAACACTTATCCCCATTCACCCTCTCACTTACTTCGTCTTTTTCTCTCTTTCTCTAAATTCCTTCGTACTCTAACACTGGTAGTTTAACTCACCTCTACTTTACCCATTACTTTCTTTCTCTAAATACATCCTCTATAACTCTTATTATTTATTTATCTCATTCTTTAACTCACTTTATTCATCTCATTCTCACACTCACTTCATTCATCCTCTTACGAACACTCACTCAAAAAAAAGCAGTTCTTAGTACAATATTCGTACACTAATCAACACAATCTATATTTTTTCAACAATCAACAATTCCCGAAATTAATCAAAATTTTAAATATCATTTTCATACGATAATCAGAATTTTTCTTAAGATCAGTTTTATTTAACAGATAATAAATATTTTTCATACGATAATTATTGTAATGAAAAAAATTTCAGTGCCATAATACACATTTTCCATACGATAATTACCCTTTTATGTACGATAATCAAATTCAGTACATAATTGCCCCAGTAATGTCACCGTAGTTTGATTAAACACCTCGGCTGGGTTATAAATCACCGTTATTGACGGTGTAATGTATTAATGTAGTACCGCTGGTCTGTTAGTAATCTGTTAAAGTATTTTATTCCCATTACTGTGTGTACTAGCCTCTTAATTCATTTCTTATCTGTCTTGTTTGTTTGCTTCTATTTCTGTCTGCCTGTCTGTCTCATCATTCACTCAACTCGCACACTTTCTCACTCCACGCTATTTTGTTTATGAGAGAGGGAGAGAGAGGGGGGGGGGGGCATGGGTGTGTAAACAAAACACAAACACAAAATTTCTGAATGGAGGCAAATCACGAGCGGGATATTTCAGGCAGAACGACCGACCGAGAGGAATGTGGGTAATAAACAGAGGGAGGAGAGAGAGCTGGGTCAAAAGTTCTCTCTGCTGTTACAATATACATGAAGGTTTATTCTCGCGTTAACTTCTTATTGTGTATATACTGTGTCGATCAAGCCCAGTACAGTACCATTCTAGTACTTGCTTCACCCACTCAATCTCAAACTGGCGTCCACTACAACTCAAGCTTAATGGTATTCACTACAATTCAAGCTTAATGGTGTCCACTGCAACTCAAGCTTAATGGTGTCCACTGCAACTCAAGCTTAATGGTGTCCACTGCAACTCAAGCTTAATGGTGTCCACTGCAACTCAAGCTTAATGGTGTTGTCCACTATACCTCAAACTGGTGTCTACTATACCTACACTCGCCTCCCAGTGGCAAATTGTCATCGACTACACAGCCCCCCAAAATTATCTCTCAAATACCGAGAAAATTTGGTACATTCCTCGTGAAGTATAATTCCCGGCTACACATGACAGACACCACCACATTACTCCACAGTTAAGGGAGGATACTCTCACAAATTGTTCCTTTATTTCGCAGCAGTACAGAAAATTCACAAGATTATCCCCCCTCTTTATTTCTCTTTTTTTCTAACAATTGTTGTGAAAAATAATGTTTGGAGAGCAGTAAACTTGTTCCAAACAGTGTGTAGGATTAAAGAAAAGCATGACCTTGTAAGTTAGTTTTTTATTACTGTACTGAAATGTACTCGTTACGGAAGTTGTGTGTACTGTATACTTCGCCACTGTACTTATGTCTACAAAGTAGTTATTGATTATTGTACTGCACTGTACTCATTACAAACCTTGCATGTACTGTGTGCCTCGTGACTGTACTAAATTACCTAAATTAGAGTTCCTGATAACTACACTAAATTGCACTCATAAGCCCTCCGGTACTATAAGATACATAGTTGCTTGGTTCTGCTTTATTTTCATGGTGAACCTTTGTACTATCGTCTACTACCTTTACTGTTAGTGAACTTATGGGACTACAGGTGGAAGATGATAGATGCCTCTAGCTACCGTGAAGCATCAGGTTGGGTGATGAGTAAAGAGGGTCTCGTAGGCCTGAGTATACAGCACATCATAGGCCAACTCTTTTTCGGTACATAAGCAGGCAATGTAACCAGCAACGCACTCGACCGCCCTCAGGTATCCAATCAAAGCTGAGTGGACTGAGGATGCCCCGGGCGCGAACTAACATCCTTTGAGACAGGAGGCGAACACTATTAACCACTCAGCCGCCGCACACCATCGGGTATGGTATCAAAACAACCACTGTGATGGAGTGTGAGGGTCAACATTACCTCAAGGTTACATTCCAGAGAGGGAGGAGTACTGTGGGGGAGTAGTGGCCACAAAGTCGGCGTCGAGTAAGTAGGATTATGTGGCCAGTCTGGCTGATCGGCAGTGGTGACGGACTGGCTGGGTCACGCCAACATCATGACCTACCTCGTAAAGGCGTTAATATGGAAAGTGTCAGTGACTTTTTATCGCGTGTAGCGATTCCCCCAAAGATTAGTGTTTTTAATGTTTTTTTTTTCCTTTTTAAGAGACTGACAAAGGCGAGTTATTACGCACCTTGACGTGAATGTGGGTTTAACATTATGATTGTACCGACCTTGAACATTCATCACTGCACTGTGGGCCGCTCAATACCATCCCTTCCAGCAATATAATTACAAAACCTGCACACAGAGTCACAGGTCACGCCACCAACAGTCACCACCTCACACAAAGTCCTCGAGTGAGCGGCCAGTAGCGGCAGGGAGGTGTGGAGGAGGCATTAGCGGATTGGCCTAGTGAGAAAAATAGCGATGTGTGTATTTATGGTGAAAGTTTGAGTTTATTACTACTGTTCTGGACAAGCCCTTTAGGTGTTGCACTTAGTCAAATTAAGCGGGCCATTATGTGCCTCTCAGCCGACAACGTAAACACCACCAACATGCTGGTATTCTTCACAGGAGAGTTCCATCCTACCACGAAAGACCTAATATTACGTAATTTACCTGTCACTATAATTCTGACTGCACTACCATGATATTTATTGATGAATTCTAACTTTTGGTGATCAGTCAAGCCGTGTGTGGTGTATTAACACAAGAGGTGAGGGGCGGGAAACACACAACGTAATGTTACTGAAGAGGTTATGATACAACAGCTGGGGGTAAAAGGGACACACACTTACACGAAAAATTCTTGGGAAATCTCACTGCAAATTTCACTGCAGATATTCGCTTCATCAGTGTGGACGGGGTACATCATTATCATCCATATAATCATATTTTATGTACAGTAGATAAAAGAGAGTGAATCTATTTAGTAATTAAATAATAATAAATTGCAACTCATATAAAGACTGATAACCTTAATATACCTGTCAATAATGGCTGATTACTTGTACTTGTCAATAAGGTATCTATTTACCCTCACAAGGTCCCTCTACTAACCCAATAATTATACTATAAATATTGTATTTCCTCATTATTATACTGATTAATTACACAAGATTATTGCCCTCTAATCGATAGTTTTACGAGAAATAGTTCCCCTTTCCTCTATTTATATGATTAATTATAAGATAAGTATTTCCCTTATCTTCTATTTAACTGATTAATTATAAGACAATTCCCTTATCTTCTATTTAACTGATTAATTATAAGAAAAATATTTCCCTTATCTTCTATTTAACTGATTAATTATAAGATAAATAATTCCCTTATCTTCTATTTAACTGATTAATTATAAGACAAATAATTCCCTTATCTTCTATTTAACTGATTAATTATAAGAGAAATATTTCCCTTATCTTCTATTTAACTGATTAATTATAAGATAAATAATTCCCTTATCTTCTATTTAACTGATTAATTATAAGAAATAATTCCCTTATCTTCTATTTAACTGATTAATTATAAGATAAATATTTCCCTTATCTTCTATTTAACTGATTAATTATAAGAAATATTTCCCTTATCTTCTATTTAACTGATTAATTATTAGAGAAATATTTCCCTTATCTTCTATAAACTGATTAATTATAAGAGAAATAATAACTTCTCAAATGTCTCCGTTAATGGGGAGGATTGTGTACCTCAAATTCTATGCTTCTCTGACTAATTAGATAGAAGTGCACATTAGCTGACATATACGTTACGTAATTATTCTGTATAGAGGTAATTTATCCTGGTCTTTGTAATTAGATGAGATCATTATGTGTTATGCACTAATGTACGTAATAATTATACATATACTCACCTGTATGACACACACACACACACACACACACACACACACACACACACACACACACACATGTTCAATATAGGTCGAGGTAACGGCAGAATCAATACCTAAGCTTTTGGTGTTGAAAGGAGAGTGAGGGAACATGACGTGAGGGGGTGGGAAGGTGGTGAGGGTACTGAGGGGTGAAGGTGGTGAGGGTTGGGGTGGTGAAAGGGTGGGGAAGGGTGAATTAATGTTGAGGGTACTGAGGGGTGAAGGGTGGTGAGGGGTGGTGAAGGAGTAGTGAGGGGTGGTGAAGGAGTAGTGAGGGGTGATGTGAAGGTAAGGGGGTTGTTATGGGGTGGTGGGTATGAAGGGTAGTAGTGTGTTTAGACTCACCTGGACACAAGTAGGGTTGGGGTAGATGAGGCCTTTGTAACACTTGTTCATCCAGTCCTCAGAGAACACCTCCGTCTCGCCCTTCTTCTCTCCGTCCTTCCCTCCCATGGTGGTCGCCGCTCGTCTGATAAAAACAAGACATAACTCAGAACCTTGGCTGTTGAGGCGCGGGACCAACATAAGGCCAGGGATTATTCTACATAAATTAAATGGTTCCGGCTGCATATTCGATATCTTGATTCTCTCAGAGGCGGAGACTTAACACAATAATGGAGCAATATATATTGAATGAGGGATGCTGAGGCGCACTCTAAAGCCTTTATTAGGTGTATTGGAAGACAATAAATCTACTGAATTCTTGAAAATCACGTGATTTAACCATACGAATCTATAGGATGAGGGAGTAAGATATTTTCTTCAGCCAAATCTGACGTTCCTCTTCTAACCTAATACTCGTACATTTAAGATTTTTAAGATTGGTTGCACTATTTCATGATATTGTACCAGACATATATTCTCACCTATACATGGTTTGCACGGATGCCATATTAGCCCAGTTGAAAGTCGCTTTATATTGTTTTAATTCGAGCGATACCAAATTACTACATTCGTTGGTTAATTAATGTACACATTTCAGTAAGTCACTATTACAGAAAAATCAAGTATTCAAAATATCAGGTACAACCATCTAATTGGGGTCCCCGTAGTACAGTATTGAGAGCCTTGCCTAGCCTAACTGTTGACGCGATCCCATTGTACTACAAGCCAAGCCAGCTCAAGCATACCACAGAGGGAGGGTTCCTATAGTTCCCGAGAGGCCTGACCTACTTCAAGTGGCGGGCCCATAAGCTGCCCATTGTTCCAAAGGTGACCTAGCCTAGAACTTTTTGCAAATTCCTGTGGTCAATGAGTAAATATGTTCATGAATATCAATGCTTTGGCCCGTCTTTCGGTTGAGGTGGACGGTGGACAACAGAACTGTTGGAAATTCGCCTTATACATTCTAGAGTTGGTTCCCATGGACAAAGGCAACAATATAAACTTTCTGAAGTAGCAGCGTCCGACCAGTCATTGACATTCGACGATCTGAGCCCACGGTATTAAGTCATTTGTTAGATGAACGAAACTAACCTAACCAGAGTCTTCAGTTAATTTTTATTCGAGTAAGACAAGGTTAAATTAGTTGGATCGTGTCATCTTTCCTAATTTACTTAATGAACCTTAAAAAAAGTTGAATGTCAACAAGTGACGGGAATATGTGCATATTACAGCAACCATGGAATTTGAAAAGAAACGTGGTTTTCTGATGGGTTTTGATGCAATTAGCTCAAATCTGACCTTCGTTTGTCAGAAATCACTCGTTTGTGATTTAGCCTCATAATACTGTAGTTCTATCGATTGCGTGTTCTGAATTCCCGTTACTCTGTGCTTGCTAACTTATACCATATTACCAAACTAAACCTTGCCTAACCACCTAGCCGGAGGCTTCGCCCCCGGACCCGCAAACGCTATGTAATAACCCTAGTGTAAGCGTTGTCAGTCTCCACGAGAATATACAGTATATAGCCGTTTGAGTATTTCCTACCTACTCCGAGTAGGAGGTCTGAGTCAGGAACCAGAATGCATCGTGGGTTCCTCTGTTCTCTAGTTTCCTTATTTTTAGAATTAAATAATACGATAAACTTCCAATAATTGAAATCACACCCAGCACGTTATGCCTCCATGTTGCAACTGATTAAAAAATGTCCCGCATCCTAGTGCTAGCACCCACGCCGAATATTGATCCCTAATTGGTTGAATCAAAAGTTGAAATTTTTTATTGGATTTGATTGGCTGCCACCCCCGCCCTAGATTTGATTGGCAGCGGCCACCCCAGATTTGATTAGCGGCCGCCTCCCGGCACAGCGCGAGAGGTAAGCGAATGAATCCAGGAAAAGAGTCACTTGAAAAAAAGTCACATAAAAAGGCAAGGATAAAACCTAACCTAACCTAACCTACGTGCAATGCCATCATATATATATATATATATATATATATATATATATATATATATATATATATATATATATATATATATAATATATATATATTATATATATATATATATATATATATATATATATATATATATATAATATATATATATATATATATATATATATATATATATATATATATATATATATATATTATATATATATAATATATATATATATATATATATATATATATATATATATATATATATATATATATATATATATATATATATATATATATATATATATATATATATATATATATATATAATATATATATATATATATATATATATATATATATATATATATATATATATATATATATGTGTTGTCAATGTGTACATGCCATGTGACTTTACTTTATTTCCGTCCACCAAGCGAACGTACGAACACACAATTTGAACAACAGCGTAAGGGCAACAGGTGCTTTGATTATTTTTTTTAATACAATAACTTCCTTTTTATCAATTTGCAACGGAAGTGTATTATAAGAAAATAACCGTAGAAAAAAATAGTTCTATCGATTGAGTGTAGTGAATTTCCGGAGTTCTGTGGTTGCTGTAGACTGCATCATTACCAAGAATATTTGGTAATAGATTTCGTTTGATTAACCCCTTTGCTGAGTAAAATCGTTTGGCATTAACCAAATACAACATTAAATGCACTACCTGTGCAAACTTTGAGGGAAACAATATGAGACCATGGACGATAAATATTGATATACGAGGGCTGTCAGCTAGTCACACGTAAAATTTCGGAGCATATCGACCCCCACCTGCACAGATAGTTGTTTTAGCTACTGTACATCACAGCTGAGAACAAACCTTGTCTTGGTTTGCTCTAGTAAAAAGTTGAAAACACTGATAATGATTCTCGTTTCACTAATTGGGCTCCAGTCACGGCCAAGTGTCCTCATAGCAGCCAGAAGTGAAATAATTAATAAATAATTTTAAATGAACTTCCCCGAAAATAAGATGGTCAAAATTACCAAACTAACCTAACCTGATCAACCCAATTACCGTCATAACGATCTTATTTTATTCTTAAGTCGAGTTAGGTTAAGTTAAGTTTGGTTTGTCATGTTTCATAAATTACTTAACAGCCGAGGTGTTTGCATAAGTACTGTACTGTGGTGTCTCGTTACTGCGCTTCATATGGACGCAATTCTAACTTTCCATTTTTTTCTAACGTTCTCCAACTGTTTCTGCTTTTACAAAGTTTAGGTAAAAATATAAAAGCAAAATAAATGCGTATTAAAGTCAGTGACAAACCAATAACAATACAATGTAATAGCAGAGGAGACGGTTAGTGGGCAGGGCAGGGCAGGGCAGGGCATGAAAGAAGGAAATATCAATACAAACACTGCGAACACTGATCATATGGCAATAATTTTACGTCTCTACGAGCTTTATAGGCATAGAAATATTATATTTTTCATAATTATGGTGCCATCGGATCTCCCGTGGCGACGACCATGCTCTGGTTCACATTGTCCGCTAAACGTGAGCGGTCTTTGTTCACATGTAAAAATGAACGACAATCTCATAGGGCGTTTTTATTACGATTTATATTGGATTGAATTCGTTCACTTTTCTAGAGATGTTGTTTGGGTGATAGAAATGGAAGCAACAATGCACAGGTTAGGAAGTTTGGTGAGGTTAGGATAATTAGGGTTAGGTAGGTTAGGATAAGTAAGGTTAAGTAGGTTAGGATAGGTAAGATTAGGTAGGTTAGGATAGGTAAGATTAGGTAGGTTAGGATAGGGATGGTATGGTCAGGTTCTAATAGGTTCTGTACATTATCGTTTCGATTTTCTTAGTATCATCCAAACAACATCTGAAAATTTGGTGCAATACCATAAAGTCCTTCTGGTACTAACCGTTTCCTCCACCATTTCCCAATAAAAATATACAAATTACATTACAGGACTTGCTTGGCGCCAGTAATAGTATATCGTTTACTGTTGTCAATTTAATATGAGCAGATTTCCTTGTATTTATTCAGTGACAGCCAGGTTTTAAACAGATGTGATTAAATGGTTTCATTAACCATCTAAAAATTCTCAGTCGTTTAAATCCCTTAGGAACAACATCATGCGTTAAATAGTTTATTTGATTGGCATTTAACTTTTTAAATCCTAGCGTGTTTACATTACGCTGGAACTCCGCCAGCTGACAATGACTTGAAAAGGCGGGTGACGCTTAGAGTAAAAATTAAATAACTAACCTCCAAACTTCACTATGACCCGAAGGTGGCAACCCTTGTACAGGGTACAGGTATATAAAAACCACATGGTCGAGCACAATTCGTGGTGAACCAAAAAAAAAAAAAAAAAAACAGTGGCATTTAGCAACAACCTACCCATGGTGGTCCTTTGGTGGACTATCGAGGCAATAAAGCTGAAGGGCCTGTTACGGAGTTTTCGGGAAACATCCTCCGTCTCAGAGACCTTGAGCCATTCTGCCTGTGGACTCTGTGGGTCATTTGAGGGAGAGCCAGGCCACAGACATCCATAGTAAGTCAACAGAGGTTGGAAATATGACTCGCCGTGTAATATTTCAATATGATTCTGATATTTTACAATGTTAAGTTTTTATATAATGTAGTATTACTGATACATAATTTGTCTTAGTATGCCTTATTGTGGGTAAAAGTAAGTATAATTAAATACATCCTCCGAAAGCGTGAATTTGCTACCAGAGTTTAACAATTAATTCATGTATAATACCTCTGATAAACTTCCTACGTGCTTGTTTGAAATAATGAATGTATGTATCTTTATATAATTTAGCTAAATATCTTTCTCGTCAGAAACGGTCATCCCAGTGATTCTGAATTAATTCCTTTAGAAATACATCATTACTTAAAGACGGAATCAGACAAGTTTACAACAGCCAATCAGCTATAATTCTTGAGAAGTGGGCGGGGCATCTCTTCTCGGCTGGAAAAAAAGCGCACTATAGTGTGACGCACTATAGTGTGACGCCGCCTATATCTCAATAATGTTGCCAGAAATAGCGTGAGTGTAATTTGCCGTTTTCTTCGAGTTGACTGGCGAGACTACTTTTACCTTGGCCTTTATCCTATTCAAGATATCACAATTTAACAAATATGCGACATCACCACGTAACCTACAATATTACAACAATATTTACAAATTGTTATATCACTATGCTGAGGAATCAAAGATGTAACAATTCCATTCTTATAACAGCAGTGAAACGTTTCGAATTGGTATCCCGCGATAAGGAGATTAAGCTATTTGTGTAAATATTGGCCCATTGGCTGTTCTCAGGTTTTGGTTCGAGAATATTTTTTTTGACGTTTTCAGTGTGTTTTACTTAAACCTGACCTTCATTCTTGTGCAAATTAGCGTTTTTTGCAAAAAAAATAATAATTTTTAACAGAAACAGCTAATTTGCACAAAATGGAGGTCAAATATGAGTAAAACACACCCAAAATACACAAACGAAAACCTATTCTCATACCACAGAACCAACCTACAAGGAAGAGGAGGAAAGGAGACAACTAAGTGGGGATTATAACCTCAGGTAAACATGGCGGTAACCTGCGGACAGCCAATGGACGAATATCAACCGTTAATTGTATATCTTATTACATACCTCTGGATAATGGTGTGTTGACCGTTTTCCTGGTATAAACGTCGAAGGCAGATGATATGTCGTCCAGTGCAGGGGTGTGACTGCTGGGTAACCACTCGTGTTGTCTCTACTGTCCTCAGCTGTCCCCATACTTCATTTAATATCTCATTTTTTATCTTTACCACACAAGTCTTCGTGATAATGTTGCATCATCAGCCATAATAGTGATCATGTAGGAGTACTGTGGCGGCACCAGTGTTCAGCAGGTGTCGTAATTATGAGTAAATGGTTAATATGTTTGGAAAATAGTGGCAGCCACACCTCACTGCCTGGATACCTCCACAACAAACACAAGCGTCCGGGCCCCTTCCTCGCCGCGGTCCCTGCCACAGTACACTCAACCTTATATATGTAACCCACAACGTCCATTGTTCCTTAAGAGACACCACTGGCACATTTTAATGTTTGATCAACTAAACGAGGGGTCGAGTCGTTTATCACGAGTCTAAATATCTGCTAACAATTAGGGTACGGAAATAACTGCTCGCATGACGTCACTCTCTGATCCTCTACAATACTCCACTACTGTAGCGGCTTATTTCTTATAGTGACATGTTGTTATTGTCAAGCTTCACCGTTCCCTCGTGCCGTGAAATATGAAATATGAAACTCAGCCGTGTTAATATTGTTATTATTATCCGCTCTGTATCTGTATTTTTCTGGCTAAATAAAATGTTTCAATCAATCAACCAAACGTTGTCCTGTGACAATACGGGGTACTGTATAAATGTGTGATTCTTAATCCAGCAGGTGCTCAAGTTAATTTACCTCTAATGACCCTTGCAGAAACGATTGGCTTATAGTGTAGAAACAAAAACAATTTAAAGGGAATAACCCAATTTGCATTGTCATTAAGAACGTGCTAGTCCCGAGATCGTAAAAGTGTTAATTTATTCAGGAGGCCCTCTCATAATTTTGTGAACATTAAAAAATAAATTATTTTATTTTCTAATTGTGTAGATATCTAAGAGGCAAAACTTGAGTATATACCTAACTGGTCGCTTTCACGAGGCCTTAATAAACTATCTCCACAAATTGTCTCTGAATCCCATTAATGTTCTCAACTGATCACTGTAATTAACTTATCCCAGCCTGATTGTTTTTATCGTCCTTTTTTCGTCGTTACTGATACTGCCAATTACCATATGTGTAGTTGTCCATTCAGTTCACAATTGGGGTAAAAAAAAACAATTGGTGTTACAGAACATTATTCATTGAAGTATTCTTTTATTTACACTCCCGATTTCAGCAGAGAGAAACTAACAATCAGAAGTAACATGTGAGTGAGTGTGAGTTAGGTCATTAGTTGTTGCCCTATTACATACTGATAGGATGAATTCTTAAAGACGCTGGCCGTTGTAGCACTTAAGGTAGCAACTAAAAGATCCATAACAACTTTATTGTCATTTATAGTTACTTTATCCAACATTTCTAGTCGTGGGAAATATACTTATAAATTCATAACTTGGTATACAGTATATACATCCACTGGTATTCCTGGCTGGGGTTGACTTGGTGACAAGATGTGTGATGTGTGTTTGTACACGTGGGTGTATAGGAAGGAGACCCACACGATACAATGAACCGCGGAATTAGTGTTTTTGTTGTCATTGTGACCGTGAGACACTAGTACTTGTTACTACCACACTCGCCATAGAACCATTTGTATGTATGTATGCGTCATCATTATATTTATTACCACTCCTATTATTCCCGGTACACAGTATTATAATCATGATAATTGCAGTATCATCATTATTATTCCTCTTTCTGTCTCGTCTCCTTTTTCTTTGATCCTGATGTTCAACAACAATATTAAACATTTAAAAAAAATAACACTATTAATACAGTACTGTAAATAGTTATTTACTGTTGACTTATATTTTACCTATAAGTCAATTGGTATTATATTTCATGTTAATTTACACCAACTCTTACTTGGTATCTAATATACTATAGGAATAGCCGTGTGTCTGTCTGTTCTGGGCAGCCGAAATGGCACTATCGTTTTTCATCAAACTTGGTGGAAAAATCGCAAAAAATTCGTAGAGTGGAACAAACTTGGTCCCATGTCGATGGTTTCTTTAGGAAGGCATTAATTAACCATTTTGTTATATTTATGACTATTAATACATCTGCAGGCGAGATGAATGTTTCAGATTCACATAGGGTTGGGTAAACTTTTGAAGAATAGAGGTAACTGAAGTACTGAAATTATAGAAAAAGATTTATTTGTACGGTGAATTGCGGATAGCAGTCATTTCCTCTTATGTCGTCATGGTCATCTTGAACAAATGGCTGCCGATTTTTTTTTAACTCTTTTCTCGTCGATGAAATCTTGTAAATGTGTTTGCTTGTTTCATAATTTTATAGTTTGACGTGAAAAGTTATCAATATCACTAAGAAAATTTGTATACCACGGAAGTTGTCCTAGTGTACCTAACGCACACTTGACAATTAAACAATAGGCAAATTATACTGCAGTAATCTTAACACTTTTATTACTATTACTATGGTTATTATTATTAATAGTAGCAGTAGTAATAATATCACCATTATTATCATGAACATTAATATTATCATTATGTCATCCTATATTTTATAATATCCATTAACATTTTTATATTGGTATAAAACAATTTCTCAATTTCAAAATATACACCTACAGGTTCACTACACCACGTACAGGAAGCGGATTATGTAGAGGACAGAGAGAAAATTATTTGTTTGTAAAGGCCAGAATGGGTTAACATTAAAACTGAATATGCTGGAGAGAGAGAGAAACAGAAAGAAACGGGGAAGAGAGAGAGAGAGAGAGAGAGAGAGAGAGAGAGAGAGAGAGAGAGAGAGACTTCCATTCCTATCATGTCTCAGAAACATCGTCGACACCTTAGCTGGGCATCAAGTAGGAACCAACAAATACGTATTTCGTGGTTCCTCTTGTATCCCGAAGTTCCATCTAGTGTCTCATTTCTTGCCCCTACCATAAAAAGAACGCCCATGCAGGCACAAGGCAAGCGAACATGCGCCTGGCGTATAACTTCTGTAGTTACACCCGAGGGAAACACCAGGTACTGTCGATTGCTCGTGCTGGCGATGTTTTTATGGTACGGGCGAACATCACTAAAGACATTTTTATCAGGTGTTGAGTTATATTCTCACTTTCACTTTTACCTGTTACTATTACAGGTAACGTCTATAGGTAATAATATGTTAAATACGAACACAAAAAAGGTGTTAATTGACCTCGAAGTTATTACCTACAGGCCTCCAGAGGTGGCTGAGGACGACTTCTTGAGTGTGTCAGTGGCCCCACACCGTAACTATAGAGTGAGTTATGACACAGGAACATTGGATATTGGTCTTAGGTTGCTCGAAGCACCGTACCTGTGTTGGAAAATGACGACACAGTCAAGGTTGGGTGCTCTAACCATCCTGTGCTGTGCTGGAGGTTCACAATGAGGAGACGATATATTGACACCACAAATCGATAGTAATGAGAACACGTTCATTATACCTCGGGGCGTGGCGGGGCTCATCACCAGTGTTTATGTGTCTGCTGGTGTCAGGTGAACAGTCAAGTCGGAAGGTAAAAGGCCAGGCAGGGGAGATGGGGAAAGGTCAGGTGGTAGGGTAGAGGTCAGATGATAGGAAAAGAAGGGAAGATGAAAGGTCAGATGGTTATGGAGATCGGTAAACGAGGAGAGTAGGTGAAAAATAAAGTGTGGACGATAAAAGGCAGGAGAGGTGAGAAGTCACGTGGGGAAATGAGATGACAGGTCAAGAAATGAGGGGTTAGATGGGGAGGGTCGAGGTCAGCATGGTAAACAAGTCCGGTGATAACTTTACAGGGCATTACCAAGAGACCGTAGAAGAGGATCGGGACCTGACAAGAGCGCGTGTCATGTGTTGTGCACAAGAAACTCCACCTGACATTTCCGGTACTCGTCGATATGTTTCATGTATCGTGTTGTTGCCGTCGCTAAAGATTTCGTGTAGATAACAAGGAAGTGTAGCTGTGGGGGGGTGTTGGGACATTGATCCACAGCCTCCGCCTTACACGTATTGACGACTGACCCTCCGCAGGGCAGGAAGCACAGCAGCAGCCAGGCCGTCTCCTCCCTCTCGTAACCTTGAACTTTTTTTTTTCTGTGGGTGATCAGCTGTAAGTATCTTTACCGTGATCGACCAACTCCCGCGCACCCATACTTGAAGTACGACCCTTGATCCATCGAATATTTTACTCACTGTTGGCTGAGCGTGTATATGTTGCCGAGTTTAGTAAGTGCAAATATGATATACCACACGCAGTACAATACCACACACCTGATGCAATACAGGTTAGTCTCCCGAGTATTATTGATTATTGGGGTCCTTGAGGAGATGTAGTTTGTTTTAAGAATTATTTACACACAAGACTTGAATACTCTCAGCCTTGTCCTCACACTCGCCGGGTTGTCAGCGTAAGAGTTAAACCACATAAACGTTATTAGTTCTAACTGTATCAAGAACATGGTTACAGATGGCTTGAGTTACTTAGGTTCATTGCAGAGTTTTGTAATGACGATATTTGGATACAGGGAGTGTCTACAGTGTATTAATAAATTAGTACGAGTGACTTACTCTGTTGTCTCGTGGTATCTCTGAGGTGATTGGGATGATAATGTGGTGGGTGATGGTGGAGGTCGAGGGGAAGGGACACTATGTGGTGATCTCCAGTCTGAGGTCATGGAGAGTGAGGGACACTATATTATGATCTCCAGTCTGAGGTCGTCATGGAGGGCGAGGAGAATGGACACTATGTGGTGATCTCCTCCAGTCTGAGGTCGTCGAGGTTAGTTGGTGAGGTTGTGTGTGGGGTGGCGACCCCTGGGAGCTGCGGCGCCGTGAAGCTGCCATTGCTGCTGCGGTGCTGTAGTGTGACGCTGGGGAGACTACTGCTGCTGCTGCTGCTGCTGCTGCTGCTACTGCTACTGCTACTACTACTGTAGGAGGTCCCTGTGATGCCGTTGTCCACCTTACTGCTGACCATATCATAGTCGTGGTCCTGGTGACTCGTCTGACAGTGGGGGAAATGATGACGGTTATAATGATGTTGCTGCTAACACACACACACACACACACACACACACACACACACACTACTCATCGCTACAAGGCACCTTGGACAGGCTACAGGCATGGACTACGGAGAACAAGGTCACCATCAACCACACCAAAACCGTAGTCATGCACATCAATACCGCCACCACTCCAGTGCAAGCTCCAGCAGTCACAATGGGTGCCCATCCTCTTCAGTTAGTGCAGTCTGCCAAACTCCTGGGTGTTACCATAGACCACAAACTGGACTGGAAGGCCCATGTAAACAACACAATCAAGGTAGCCTTGTACCGACTCCACATGCTATGACGACTCGGGTCACTTGGGGCACCCACGCCAGAGCTGAGGACTATCTATAACGCCTTTATTCTCCCAAATTAACGTATGCGTCACCAGCCTGGTCGTCTTCTCTCAACTCTACCCAACAGCGCCAGCTAGAGAAGGTACAGAAGAGGGCCTGCAGAATAATGCTCGGTGCAGACTACTCTGGCTACAACAAAGCTCTCTCCACCATGGAAATGACATCCCTCAGTGACCTCCACCACCAAGCACTAGCAAGGTTTGGCAGTGGACTACTGAACCATCCTCGTCATCGCCACCTCCTGCCACCGGCAGTCCCCCGCCCACCTCGCTCAGTCCGCAACTACAACAAAATTCAGCCCATGAGAGCCTGCACTGATAGATATAAGAGCAGCACCATCCCATCTATTGTTAAAATAATAAACAACTGATTTATGTACTGTACAGCCCTGTAAATGTATTGAATGTATATCATTATGTCTAAATCACATGTAAGTTTGTATATTTTCAGCCACCGGCTGCAACTCTATTAATAAACCGTTTATTATTATTATTATTATTATTATTATTATTATTATTATTATTACACACACACTTCTCCAGAGCAAACTCATTAACCACCACAAAACGCTCTACACTTACACTCACAACAACAACACACACTCCTATACACTAACCACAGTAAACACTCCAGATATACACTCACAAAACACACCCATTACCTCGACACACTGTACACTCACATCCAACCACAATAGCAACACAACGCAACACCTGGAGATGATAAAATACACCAACACAGACACAAGGAACACACCCGTCACGGATTCCGACTAAAAACTGAAACATAAATTTAACGACTGGAGAGTATGTCACGTATATCTGACTGAAGAAAAAAGAATGCAAGTCAAGAAGTGTAAAAAATGGGAGTCAATAATTGCTAGGATACACGGCAACACTCGCCAGCCACGGGCGACACACACACACACACACATTTATGCTATGTGAGGATCAAAGGTGACACGTGCAGACACCCGTACTGTGTGATATTTGACGAAGACATACATTCGTACTATGGAGGGATCAAGGCCGACAGGAACACACACACACACACACACCCGTGCTATGTCATTCACGGTCGACACGTGTGCTTCGAAAACACGTACACAAACCCGTTCTTTGTGCTGTTTATCGTTGACCTATCCACACCCGTGCTACAAGCGGGTCAATGGTGACATTTACACGTACACATCCTTGAAACATCAATCATGGAGACGTGTGTACTCACCGTGATTCGTACTATGGTCGTACTCACCGTGCAGGGCACTCACCCGAAGGGCGTGTACTCACAGGGCGTGGGTGCGTGCAATCAGGTGCACATGTACCACCGTGTTGGTTGTACTCACCCTGTTATCCGTGTTGGTGAAACACCGTGTTGGTGCAGGGCGGTGTACTCACCGTGTTCATGGTGTGAAGGGCGTGGGTGTACTCACCCTGTTGGTGCAGGAGACCGTGTTGGTGCAGGGCGTGAGTGTACCGTTTACAGGTGCAAACACCGTGTTGGTGAAGGTGTCAGGGGGTGTACTCACCGTGTTGGTGTAGGTGTACTCACCGTGTTGGTGAAGGGCGTGTGACAGGTACCACCGTGTTGGTGAAGGGCGTGGGTGACCGTGTTGGTGCAGGGCGGTGTACTCACCGTGTTGGTGTAGGGCGTGGTGTACCACCGTGCTGGTGTAGGGCGTGGGTGGGTGTACTCACCGTGCTGGTGCAGGGCGTGGGTACTCACCGTGTTGGTGCAGGGCGTGGGTGTACTCACCGTGTTGGTGCAGGGCGGGGTGTACCACCGTGTTGGTGTAGGGCGTGGGTGTACCACCGTGTTGGTGAAGGGCTCACCGTGTTGGTGCAGGTGTAATCACCGTGTTGGTGCAGGGCCACCGTGTTGGCAGGGCGTGGGTGTACTCACCGTGTTGGTGTAGGGCGGGTGTACTCACTGTTGGTGTAGGGCGGGTGAACTGTTGGTGAAGGGGTACTCACCGTGTTGGTGCAGGGCGGGTGTACTCACCCTGCGTGTTGGTGTAGGGCGTGGGTTTACTCACCATGTTGGTGCAAGGCGTGGGTGTAATCACCGTGTTGGTGCAGGGCGTGGGTGTACTCACCGTGTTGGTGCAGGGCGGGTTTACTCACCGTGTTGGTGTGTACTCACCGTGTTGGTGCAAGGCGGGTGCGTGGGTGTACTCACCGTGTTGGTGCAAGGCGTGGGTGTCACCGTGTTGGTGCAGGGCGTGGGGGCGTGTTGGTGTGGCGGGTGTACTCACCGTAGTGGTGGTGGGTGTAGGGGAGGGCGTGTTGGAGGTGTTAGTGGGGTTGATGGACGCACCGTCACCACTCAACTTGTAATTGTTGTTGACCGTCAGTTTCTTGGTCTGCGGACGACACAAGACGATGTTGAGGGGAGGACCTACACAGGTGTGAGGACTCCACACCTACAGGTGTGAGGACTCACACAGGTGTGAGGACCCACACAGGTGTGAGGACACTTACAGGTGTGAGGACCAACACAGGTGTGAGGGTGTGAGACCACGAGGACCACAGGTGTGAGGACCAACACAGGTGTGAGGACCTACACAAGTGTGAGGACTACATGGGTGTGAGGACCACAGGATCTACACGTGAGGACCTTCCCACATGTGAGACCTCCACAAGTGTGAGGACCTACACAAGTGTGAGGACCTACACAGGTGTGAGGACCTACACAGGTGTGAGGACCTACACAGGTGTGAGAACCTACACAAGTGTGAGGACCTACACAGGTGTGACAACCTACACAAGTGTGAGGACCTACATGGGTGTGAGGACTCACTTCACACTAAGTTTAGAGGTCAACACACACTTGACAACATACACTCAGTCTTTGACTTATAAAAGAGTAATGTATCTCTCTGTTGTGTTCAAGATGGTAATAAATCAGGCCAATGTCATTACTCTGTTCAAATGGGGACGTTTAGGTTTTAGTGACGTGTCTCTTATATTCCCGCGTATATATGTAACGTTTTTTTTTCGAAATAACTTACAAACCGGCTAACAAAGTAAAAAAAAAAAAAAAAGGACCACTTAACTGTGTATCAATCTACACGAGGCATCCTAACCTAACCAAGGTTAGGTTAGTTTAGGTTGTCTGTAAGTTATTTCGCAAATTTACCGACATGCATGTCGGGAATTTTGCAAAATAACCGATTTAGCAAAAAACGTAACATATACACATGTGGGCTTGCATTAACACATCCAAGTAAACTTTCTGAATGCGAATCTGAGTACTTGCCTAAACATGCTAAATCACATTCTACACCTCAACAAAATTTAATTAAGAACTTGCTGCATATCAGACGCAACAGGTCGGGGCCAACGCAAGGATTCGTGTCTACCGCAGAGGTATAGTACAGTACACAGAGACCCTTCTTTGCCGTGTTTACTTCTGGTGTACATGAACATGGTGCTGGGGTGAGTGAGGGAACACACGGGTATTACACTAAGATACGCACATTAAAAGCATGGGATGCCCTGAAGTTAAGGAAATAGAGAGATACATAAATTTAATTTCATTATTAATAAAATTAGTATCTATACCTGTACTTAAATAAATAGATAAATAAAGCATGTATATCCTTCTCTATCTCCCTCCGTCACTCCACTGACCTGGGGAGTGATGATGAACCCCAAGTCGCTGTAGGAGATGTCAGTAAACTCCTCGTCAGAAGGTTCCTGTGTCTTACCCTCGAGGCGGCAGTGGGCGGGGCGCTGTTGGAACATAACGCCCCCTTCCCCATCCCCGCAGCTCGTTACCCCGTCCTGGCTCCTGGGGCTGCTGCTGCCTGACCCCATCGCTAAGGAAGTCATAGTGGTTAGGTTAGGTTAGGTCGCAGTAACACACAACCTCGATTCTCATCAGGTTTACGGTGATTATTTTATTATTAACATGCGAGCACTGAAAAAATATCACTAGTTAAACAATATAATGATAAAACATGCCAAGAATAAGGAGATAAGATGAAGCATTTATTTTAGATAAATATAAAGCCATAACTAAGATCCAGCAGGGTTCGTCATGGATCCAGCAGGGTTCGTCATGGATCCAGCAGGGTTCGTCATGTCTACAAAAAACGACATCTAAACATCAAGACTCTCTGTAGAACTCGTCTGCTTGTTACGTCACGACCAAACATCAAGTAGAATCGACATTTAATTATTTTTTATTAAGCTACTGTTAAAGTGTATTCCTGTACTCCAGATGTCAAGGGAGTTTTAATCACAGTTCACTTAAGTCTTTTAGTGTTCAAGTTATGTTAGGTTATATTGTGTTTTAGGTCGGGATAGATTAGGGTTAGTTATGTTAGACTAGATTAGGTTAGTTTACATAAGAACATAAGAAAAAACATAAGAAAATAAGGAGTCTGCAATAGGCCGGTTGGCCTGTGCATGGCAGCTCCTGTCGAGAGTTACTACCACTCTCTATCATCCATGAATCTATCCAGTCTCCTTTTGAAACTTTCCAGCGTTCCAGCACTTACTACATAGTTGCTAAGCTTGTTCCACTCGTCTACCACCCTATTTGTGAACCAGTGTCTTCCTATCTCCCCCCTAAACCTAAACTTATCCAACTTAAATCCGTTGCTTTGAGTCCTATCCTGCTCGGATATGATAAGAACTTTATCTATATCCCCTTTATTGATTCCTTTCACCCACTTAAATACTATTATCATATCTCCCCGCACTCTTCGTCCTTCTAGGGAATGCAAGTTTAGTTTCTTTAACCTATCCTGATATGGAAGTTTTCTAAGTCCCGGAATCATTTTCGTCATTCTTCGCTGCACCGACTCTAGTGAATTGATATCCATTCTATAATAGGGGCACCAGAACTGAACCGCATAATCGAGGTGCGGCTTGACAAGCGCAAGATATAGTTGCAATAAGACATCTGCACTCTTATTACTTACACTTCAAGATATAAAACCCAATACTCTATTTTGCCTTATTTCGAACATTAACGCAATGTTTTCTAGGCCGTAGGTCCGGGCTTTCAAGTACCCCTTGGTCTCTTTCACAAGTCGACTTCTCTAGGTTGATGTTGTTAAGGCTGTATACATTGACAGTATTTGTTCTTCCAATATTAAGTACGCTGCACTTGCTGGTGTTGAATTTCATTTGCCATTTTTCAGACCACCCCTGCAGTTTATTTAGATCCTCCTGTAATGCATTTGCATCCTGCCCTGAATTAATCTGCCGCCCTATTTTGGTGTCATCCGCAAACTTGCTGAGGTTACTGTGGATTAGGTTAGGCTATATTAGATAATATTACAATAGATTAACGTTAGAATGATAAATCTTAACTTTTAGATAACCTCGTGTTTTTCTCCTCCTGTCAACACGTGTAATAAAACACAAATTAAAAACAAATTCTTATTTTCTCTATTGTGTTCTTATATTTCCTAAGTGGACCTTTTCAACCCGCAGTGAGGTAGCCGTCTGGTCATGACATGGCTTTTACAGCGTGATATTTCGTGTAAATAAAGATTGAAAGTTTAATTTAAATCTCTAGTGTTTTTAGTGGTACTGATTTCTAACAATGTTTACTTTTGTGTCGGAAGTCGGATGTGTTATCTAGATGTTATTGAGAGATATGTGTTTTGTATATGTCGTGTTATCTTTGGTTTGGGATTTCTTCTTGTTATCTTTGTTTTTTACTCATTCCTTGTGTTATCTTAGTTGTTTCTTGAATTTATTTGATAATATTTTGTATTATATTAATTGTTTATTTTTTAACTCCTTGTGTCATGTTATATTTGTTGTTTTGGGAAGTTCCTTGCAACAATATATTATGTCATCTTAGTTGTCGGTGTAATTTCCACGTTATTTTGTCCAACTTTGGTGCCATAGGATACAAAATCTTATTATCGGTTTTGTTACATTAATATTCAAGGGGAAATTGATCGCATAAATCTTAGAAAAGTTATATTCATCAGCCCTGAGGCACATTCTCCAAGTAACGTGCTGGGCGATGTATAGAGGTCGCCCCAGCCAATCACAGCTCACTCCTGGGCGAAAACGTTATTGCATACCAGTCCTGAGGAGCTGAACAATTAATTAATAATAACCAGTGCCTTCAGGATTATGTAAACCATTCACCAATCACAGTCTAGAAGGTTCCGAACAGCCAATCACAACCAGGAATTCAACACTTTCATCCACACCATTTCCTTTCAACTAAACCAACTTCACCTAATATATCTACGACATGTGAGACGGATGGGGGCGGCGGCTCGTGAGTGGTCAATGCATTGCGTGTAAAACTGTTGCGGTCTGTCATGAAGAGGCCATTCATAAATATGCAACCTTGAACCATATTAGTTACGTGGCTTATTGTGGCTGATACCCGAGTTTTACTTTACCGCTTTTTTACCAATATACAGAACACTATAAACAAACTTTATTGTTATCAGATGAGAAACTTGACATAGAGGGCTTAACAAGCATACCTGTGTATACCTAAGACAGAACAGCTCTCTATATTCCTCGTATGACGTGTACAAAATAGATAGACAGATAGATGGAGAGGTATTCAGTAAAAATCGCCATAGAAGTTTACATTGATTCAGCATGTATAAGACCCTGCAGGTATACACGAATTCATCCATATGGCAACACTCAAAGGCTACCTAACATAACACGGAAGTAACCTTTAGGATTATTATTATTATTATTTATTTTGGTGATACTTTATTTTTGTTCATATTCTATATATATATATGTTCGTTGATTTACATACTGAAGGCCTTAGAGTTAATAGAAGTAAAATCAAACATTGCTCAGTCACGTGTGGGAGAAGAGAGGGTGTGAGAGATGGGAGGAGTAACAGATATTACCAAAACAAACTTAAAGAGTAATGGAGTGACGTGTGTAAGAGCGGTCATATGATTAAGTCAGTACTGGATACAAGTAATCATTAGGTTAGGTTAAGGTAGGTTAGGTTAGGTTAAAAAAAGACACTATCACACCAGCTTTTACCCCGTGATTGGATCCATAAAGCAAGGCAACAGTGGAGAGTCATGAGGTGCGGGGGTGGTGGTCAGGACACTCACCTCACCTCCTACACCTCGGAACTCCGTACACAACCTCACCTGATCAATGTTGTACCCAGACCACGGAAGTAAAGCAGACCTGGGACAATGTTGGTGGTGTTGGCGAGGTGGTGGTGGTGCTTATGTTGATGTGGTGGTGGTTTTGCTAGTGGTGGTGGTGTGGTGGTGGTGGAGACGTTATTAATGTTAGTGATGGTGGTGTTGCTAGTAGTGGTGGTGATGTTACTAATGTTGGTGATGGTGGTGTTGCTAATGGTTGTGTGGTGGTGGTGACGTTACTAATGTTGGTGATGGTGGTGTTGCTAGTAGTGGTGGTGATGTTACTAATGTTGGTGATGGTGGTGGTGTTGCTAGAAATGTTTGTGGTGATGTTACTAATGTTAAAGATGGAGACATGGAATTGTTACTATGTTCCACCTGGCAAACAAACAAAACCATATATTTTTTTTAAGGGGATTAGCTCACCCGGGCACAGGTCAATGACCCAAATCAGGGCCTGGGGGCGAAGATATAATAATAATAATAATAATAATAATAATAATAATAATAATAATAATAATAATAATAATAATAATAATAATAGAACATAATTATTATATTAATAAAGAACCATAAATAAATGCAAAAAAAAAAAGATCAATAGTGATAGAAACAATATATGTATGTTGTGTTGTGTTGTCAAAGTAAGTGAAACAACTGAGACCCTGCAACTGTGTGTAAAGGAGGCAGAAAGTCAGATCAGCACAATTTTTGTGATGCCAAATGGATTAAGCTTCCAATATCTTCCCAGGCGGTAGCACCTCCCTGTTTGGTAGCTGCTTACTACCTGGTAATACAACAGATATACCTAACTTAATCACACAGTCCACACTCCCACACTTACTTATCACCACTTATGCACCATACTTGTAATACTTATATGCCACCTTTTATAACATATTTAAAACAATCACTACACTCAGAGGATAATTCTAAAGGAAATGTACTTTACAAACGCTTCATTGAACGATATAAAGTACCTGAGGAAAAATAAGTCGTTCATTTGTCCAGGCGCCTGATGACGTGCTTCGAGGGAGGTGACTGACAAATATTTTCTAAAGGAATTAATCATACCTTATAATTTCATATTCCAAATGTTGAAGACTACCGTAAAGGTGATTTAAATAAGGGCAATCATTTATATAATATTAAAGAAAACTTAGTTACTAATTATTTACATTTTGGTTGTTCTGTTGTGCTTTTTTTTGTTTTTCATGACGTCGCGCTTGAGACTCCCTTTATCATGCGTCCTTTATCTACACTGATACTATGTCACGATTTTCCCTTTAAGCTTTTAACTGTGAGATGAAAATTACGAACACTTAACACGGTAAAAATGTGAGTCTGATGGTAACCTTTAACGAACCTATTTATAATTTACACCACACTTAACACTGTCATTTATTCGTATTATGTGCACCACTTTTTATTTGGGAATAAAATAAGCCTTACTTTACTACTGCTACTACCATTACTCCTTCTCCTCCTACTACTACTAATAATAATAACAATAATAATATGTTACCTATAATTGTTAATGTTCGGTCGTTGCTACTCATTTAACATTACTCATTTGCGTCGCTCAATTTGGTATTGATGTTTATATAATGTTAAACTCGTACCATGAAGGCATCGCCAAAAGTAACGCCATAAGAAGCAATAAGTAACAGCAGGAGATATAAGTAATGCCAGCAAAGCAATAAGTAACA